AACTCTAAACTGATTACACGTGCAAACAATTCATAAGCCATGCACCTTAATTCAGATAAACTAATTTCAAAAAAAAAAACGAAAATAAAAATATAATAAAAATAAAACTAAATTACTTAAAAGTGTTTCAAATTCACAATTTGTAGTTGATTGTAGCTTGGAATTCATTTAAGAGAACTCGTGTAATTAATTATTTCCCAACCGTAAGTGCACAAACAATTCCGAAATGAAGCCAAAGTGCACAGCAACGTGTGCAGATAGCACAGGGAAAATTTATATTTCAGATAGAAATAAAGAGGAAAAACTCAGCTACATATAAAGTGTGAAAAAATTAACAAAATTTTATCAAAAATACGCGGGCAAACTATTTTCAATGAACGCGAAGGATACGGCTACGGCTACGGTCACGGCACACCCGCTCCTATAGTTAGTAAGGATAACACGTTCACGGATGAGAACGAACGAATTCCGTACGCAAATGGAAATTTAGTATCGAATTTTGAAAAGTGCACAAAGTGGTGCAATTACCATTTGGAAAAGTTTGTATTTCGCAATGCGCCAGGAGCAAATAAGCGCCAGTGTTATTAATTGCAAAATCCAAAATCTAACGTATGCCACATACAAAGGAAGATACAAAGGAAGAGTTTAAGAGCAGATGATTTCATTATGTGTTGTTTTCTTTTTTACACTTAATTATTACAATATACTGATTATTTTTGCCATTTAACAGATAATTAGTTGAAGTTAATGAAGTTTCCCATTTCCGGTACTCAGTAATCCAATTTACAGAATAAAGTTAACACAAACAGACAGCAATTATAGGTGCAGAGTGAATAAATTAAAACGGTGTATTTATTAAACATTGTAGTACCCTTTTTCAAAATCCTTTCAAAATTGTCATTTGTATTCAGTAGTATTTGATAAATTACCACAAAAATATACACAAAACGATAATACAAAACTAATCAATCCCTTTGGACTACGTTCCTTGCATTACGTGAAATATGTGGTAAGCATAATTCATATATTTATCTATTGATTTATGTGGCTTAAAAATTTAGTCATATTACTATTAAAAATAAACTAAGTTAAAAAACCAACTCATTAAACATATAAACTTACTGCTAATATTATCACTATTATGTGAAAATAATCCTTAAAGGATGAAGTGACGTGGTGACATAGTTCTCCACCTCTCCAAAATCTTTTATCAATATTATGTAGCAAAAACTTGGACTCATAACAATATGTTTATCATAAAGATTAACGTAGATAAATTTAATTGATTCGATAATTCAAACAATTTATTACAAATTATTATTATTATTAAACAATACACTAGGTGCATTGATAGTTACCCGACTTCACAGCAGGTGGCAACATCAGAACAAAATCAATTATATTTTATATATCTGGGTAGGTTTAAACGACAGATGTAAAAGTTTCCACCTAGTATATTACAAATTGGGTTTAAGAGCAACTTCAATTAAGTTAAACATATCATCATAGCTATTAACCGATGATGGTTAAATAATTAGACTAATGGACACCCTTATCGCATTTGAATGGAAGATAACCTACCATAAACACGGCATAAAGCCAATTTACATATTCACAAAAGCAACAACTTGATGTAATTTATGATTTGAAGGTAAGTATGTAAATTGGAAAAAAGATGACATCCTCCTCAATTAGCTAAAAAAGTTGTTTCGATTGCACATTAATCGTAATTTTTTGGTTCACGGTTGGACATATTAAAACCAGTTGGACGCAATAATAAATGTTAGACTTTGATCCATGGAATGTTGGATATATCGTTTTATGAATACAAATAGATAGTGAGTAAAAGGTTGGATTAAGTGTATTACAACCAGATGAATGAATTGATAAATGTAAGCACTTCAACAATTTTAATGTCGGATATATTGTTAAATGAACTTAAAAATAGGATATTAATTACAATATGCCTAGATCTGGATGAACACAGGCAGTGAGTAGCGGGTTAGGTTCGGGCGTATTAAAACCGTCCAGTAATTAAATAATTAGGTTCCTATATATTTTAAGCCTAAATACAAATAAACCTATACAATGGGTAGAATGGCAAGCATATTTGAATCTTTTTGACGCTTATATGTATGCAATTATCTGTTCAATTTCAATACTACCGTCGGAAAAATATATTCTAACCACATACCTATTAGTTACATTGATTTGATCATTTTGTTAGCAAAATTTTAGCTCATGTAGTAAAGAAGATATGAAAATCAACATGTGGTGTGGTTGAACCAACATGATACGTCGAGTAAGAATATTTCTACTTAAGATATTTAGAATCTGGTTAAATCAACCAAAATATTTTTCGGAGTGTAGAATTACCGTTGAGTGTTTTTCAAAATAAGCCACCCATAAGCTTAAACCTGTATCTATATAAACCTACACGGTAACATAACAGATGTACTCAATCTACAATTTCGATAGGGTGGACACAGTCTAGCTTCAATCATTCCATAATTAAATGTTCTTTAAGAATTAATATTATTTAAAATACTTTTAACTTGTTTCTGTGGTTTAATTTTTTAAGTATGTCAATCATACTAATTTCGATCTAGTTGCAAAAATAATATTAAAACAGTTTCTGTTAATTTTTTGTTGTGAACAGTGATCATATATCAAACTTGCTGGGGGTTCTATCAAATGAACACCAAATCTCGCTCATAAGTGTACTCATCTATATTCGCATGACAAGAAATTCAAACGAAAACCAACTTAAGAATTGTTAAATCGTCTAAATTCTTGAAATATCTTGGACAAGATTGGACCGCTAAAATAGTTTACATAACTAAAACCTTCGTATCCATATCTGTTAAATCTAATACACACATCATTTTTAACTATCTCGCAAACCACTTGTGGTACACGGATCACCGTTTGAGAACCACTTATCTAGACTCTATGATTTTTGTTGTTTTGCGAACAAAGAGGAAACTGTACTCTACCTCATATGCCAGTAGCCATCATTTTTTAGGAAAAGATTCAAAATCTTTAGTGCTCCTTTTTCTAAAAGTCATTTTCTAATATTACCAAATTAACCAATTTTGTAGACTTGTCAGATCAGGTACCTTCAACTTGAAATTGGTGAATTGTGCATTTTCAAAGGAAAATGCTACCTTTATGTTAGTTATTAATCTGTGGTATACGTACAGGTCTCATCTGTGATATCACAACAGGTCATTATTTTCTGCTTTGTTTAAGTGTGCTTTGGGTACAATAGATCTTTTAGGTACCTCTTTTCACAATAATAATAAAGCGTGCTTTGGAACAAGGCGTTGTGGTTCACTGTCTTGAATTTCAAAATACGAGTAATTGAGACATTTATCTTATACTTTTTGATTTAATTAACTATATCATTTTATATGTGCTAATAGATAATTTTGTTTTTACTTCTTGAGTTGTATGTCGAAACCAATAGATGCTAATCGATGTTGACTATTATAATCGTAATAACTTAATATTTAACTAAATCTGCGACCGTCAGTGCATAACTAATCTAAGTTGAAGTTTTTTTGCTGCTGGGTTGAATACATTATTGAACATGCTTTTATGAGTAGATATGAATTTGCAGTCATTATATATGCATCTGAAATGAATGAACTTTAAAATCAGTTATTGCTCTGAGTTGGTTTTTCAGTTAGTTTTGCAGAGTTTCATTGAAAATAAATGAAGTTATTTTACATTTTGACAAAAAAAAAATAAAAAATTATGGAACATCAAGCAAACATGGGTAAAATGTTCGTATGTGGGTTTAGCTGCTTATTTATTTCCGATACTCCTGCAGGCTACATTCAAATCAATTCAATTCAAATCAGATTTGCACAAAATATAAGCGTGTATGCCCCGAAATTATTATATTCAAAAATTTACATAGTCAAAAAGCTAAATGTTAACAACACAAACAAACATCGACACATGGACATACACATACACATCGACTTCCGCATATCCTCTGAAGTTCATATCTGCATATCAACCAACACAATAATGCTTAGATACACGTATCGCATATCGCATATCGCATATCGTTCCGTATGCGTTTATTTGATTTCACGAGTTTATTGGCTGCTTACTCATAAATAAATATTTGCATTTAATAATTGATTCGAGATTTGAGATTTTCGTGTATCTGCCAATTATCAGTTTCAGTTCAGTTTCAGATACTTTGGTACCAAAGTATGTACCGAAATCCGCGCACATAAAAAATGGGCCTAATTTGTGTGTGCGCAGGGCCAACAAAGTGCCTAAAATGTTTGGTTTGGCCTGGCAAAAAATGAGTAAATTTAATTAAAAGCAAAAAAGGCTCGTTAGCTTAATCTAATCTGCGCGTCTTTACTTTCATTTCCTATTTTAAAACATTTTATAAATATTTTTTTTTCACTTTTTTCACTTTATTTATTT